TGCACCTTCATATTTGCTCCAGCGCAATACTGTGCTCTTTGATGTCACAGTAAAAATGCTCACGGTCATTGTGCTGCCTGAAAAGACAAAAAACTTAATGCTGGTTAAATATAATACAAATCACAATCAACAACAGCGTATTTATGAGTATGCATTTGAATTTAAGCAGATACTGTGAATTTGATCCAGATGAGCAGTACCTGATGCCTGTAAATGAAACAGTTCACAAAGACTTTCATTAGATTGTAAACATTTATACAAGTATACTTTTTTTAATTCCAAGTGTTTTTCATAACTGCATAGCATTTGAAAAAGAAAGTATGAATGCATGACAGAATCATAGAAAAGGATTATTTTATTTTTTTGTTTAAAGTAATACCATTTCCCCTACTGCCACATCATTCTATGCTGCATATTATGTTGTACTTCATTTCTGAATAAAGGGAAATGAAAAGTGAATAAATAAAATGTGACATAACTCTACCTGTGAGACTATTCCAAACAAAAGCACCAGCCCCTTGATTCCTCCAAGGACTGCCATCTGTTTTCTCTGTTTGAATCCTGATTCCTCAATCTAAACTCTGCAATCTCTTCTGTTTCTTGTGTTTTGGCTGACTATATGGAGCTTTTCTTAAAAGCATCTTCAATATATTAACCTAACCCCACCTCCTCCGAAGAGCTGGCCAATAAGAGCTGGGGATGAGAATGAGCTGGCCAATCAGAAGTTAATATGACACATGCATTAAAAAGGTGTAACAGAAGACTGGGGGATGCTGTATAGCCTGTGCAGTCTAATGTAAATCATGTAGTTTATACACATTTGTGTATTTAGTTTTTGTACTCAATTGGGTAAATAACATTCATTCTAAAGTGTTACACAGGTATGCTGTCCCTGCAATATTTTCTTTAAAAAAATTAAAAGGAGACGTCTCACCACAATAATCTTTATGTAATTTTAAGGCGGTAACGGCCAGACATATATTTTGTTGTCTATTACATTTTTACTGTTTATTGAGGTTTTCCTTTGTGAAAATGTACCCCATTTGGTCTGAAGACATGTCCCAGTAATGTGTGTTTGGGTCATTCTTCATTAGTGGTGACAAGTAGTGTCCTACTTATTTGCAACAGTTGAAGAAAAAAAAAAAAAAAAATAATATATATATATATATATATATATATATATATATATCAATGAATCAGAAAATGTGTAGGTACTTGTATTTTGTAGAAAACAATTTGTGCACTGTTAAAAAATATATATTCAAAAGTATTTAAATGACTCTGATAGATGTGTGTTTAGCTAAATCTGAATGTTCCACATAGAGGTATCATGGGATGCAATTGCAAAAATATAAAAATTTTTACAGAATTAAAGTGCTTATATTGTGAATATAGATTTTATTTAACATGTACAATTTAATAATTATTATTATCTAAAAACAACAACAACAACAACATTTTATTACAGGCTATTTTAAGAAAAGGTTGTGTCCCCAAACTTAATGTTTGTGGTGTTACCAGTGGATGTTGCCTCTTTGAAAGTTAAAAATCCTACAATGTGATTTTCTGGATTTTTTTTTCTCATTTTGTCTCTCATAGTTGAGGTATACCTATGATGAAAATTACAGGCCTCTCTCATCTTTTTAAGTGGGAGAACGTGCACAATTGGTGGCTGACTAAATACTTTTTTGCCCCACTGTATGTTTACTTTTTGTGTGTAAAGGTCATTGCCGGTGATGGTTGTTCTGAGGAGTGCATGGTATAATTACTTTACATTACATTATAATTTTCAAAAATGTTGCTAAATTATGTAATAATTTTGATTATGTGTCACACTTTATTGGTGTTATGCTGATAACTTGCAGATTGAACATATTTTAATCTATATTTTGATAATTATAGTCATGCTATAGGCTATTATTTCCAAAATGTCCCTTGATTTCTCAGACCACATTGCTAAAACTGCCTGGTCCTGCAGATTTGCTTTATACAACATTAGGAAGATCAGGCCCTTTCTTTCAGAACATGCAACACAACTCCTTGTTCAAGCTCTTGTTCTGTCCAGGCTGAACTATTGCAGTGCTCTCTTGGCAAGTCTTCTATCAAACCTCTACAATTAACCCAAAATGCCGCTGCGAGATTAATCTTTAATGAGCCGAAAAGAACGCATGTCACACCTCTGTTCATCAATTTGCACTGGCTACCAGTAGCTGCTCGCAAGGCATTAATGTTTGCCTACAAAACCACCACTGGCTCTGCACCCATTTACCTAAATTCATTACTTCAGAGTTATGTGCC